ACAGGAAGTTAAGAGGCGGAGGGACTTGCCCACAACCACAGGCGGTCACAGGTGGAGGCGGTGTCAGCCCAGGGCTCCAGGCACTGAGTCCCGACTGTAACCTTCAGCCCTGGGGCTCAAGTCCACCGAGCTAATGACATAGCGAGTTTTTCTTTTCCTGGACAGGACGAATCACCACTAGAGGCACGCAGGGGAGGAGTGTTCAGAGCCATTGCTAGGTGGTCTCTGAGCAGTGATTTCCCCTGTGGAAAGGCCATCCGGGGTGCTCCTTCTGGAGTGCATCGATGAACTGCTCAGGTCAAAAAACCGAAACATACTTGTGACTTCAAATATTCTGGAATTCGCTTTCCGTGATTAAGCCGTCCCATCCCCAGTGGGTTTGAATTCAGCTTTGCTGTGAGTGGTAAGGCCTGAGCCTCCATCTCCGACTGTGTCCTTACCCTGTTTCACATTAAGGCCAAGGGCGTCACACTGCAGGCAGTCGTGGCTTGGCTCAGGGCCTGCAGGAATCCACATCTCTGATCCCTTACAGTCATGCAGCCTCAGAGGCTGGCTGGGTTTTTTTTTTTTTTTTTTTTTTTTTGAGACGGAGTCTGGCTCTGTCGCCCGGGCTGGAGTGCAGTGGCCGGATCTCAGCTCACTGCCAAGCTCCGCCCCCCGGGTTTACGCCATTCTCCTGCCTCAGCCTCCCGAGTAGCTGGGACTACAGGCGCCCGCCGCCTCGCCCGGCTAGTTTTTTTGTATTTTTTAGTAGAGACGGGGTTTCACCGTGTTCGCCAGGATGGTCTCGATCTCCTGACCTAGTGATCCGCCCGTCTCGGCCTCCCAAAGTGCTGGGATTACAGGCTTGAGCCACCGCGCTCGGCTTGTTTTTTGAGACAGGGTCTCGCTCTGTTGCCCAGGCTGGAGTGCGGTGGTGTGATCACAGCTCACTGCAGCCTTGACCTCCTGGGCTCAAGTAATTCTCCCACCCCAGCCTCCAGAACAGCTGGGACCACCGGTGTGTGCCACCATACCCAGGTAATTTTTGTAGAGACGGGGTCTTGCTACGTTGCCCAGGCTGGTCTTAAACTCCTAGGCTCAAGCAGTCCTCCAGCCTCAGCCTCCCAAAGTGCTGGGGTGACAGGCGTGAGCCACCGTGCCCAGCCTGGGACTCACTTTCTCTAATGTAGTGGAGAACTTGGTGAGACTAGAACAACACACACACAGTCCCTGATGCCAGGCAGATGCTCAAGGCTCACTAGCTCCTCGGCCCACACACAAACCCGCATCCATCACCCACATTTCCACAGGCCCGGGGCCAGTGAGCAGCAGCTGGAAACCAAACCTTGCCCGAAGCGGCTAAGACAGCTCTTTGCATTTTTAAAGAGAAAAAAATAATAATAAACTATTTTGAGATGTGAAAATGCTATACAATTCCAGTTACAGGGTCTGGCAACAAAACCATCTGGGGGCCGGGCGTGGTGGCTCACGCCTGTCACTGCAGCACTTTGGGAGGCCGAGGCGGGAGGTTCACCTGAGCCCAGCAGTTCGAGACCAGCCTCAGCAACGCTGCAAGACCCCATCTCTATTTTAATTTTTAAAAAGCATTTTGGCCCATTTTACACATGATCTGTGATGCTTTCCAGCAACAGTGGCAGAGCTGAGAAGCGTGACGGGGACCACGCGGCCCGCAGAGCCCACGGGAGGGACACTGGGCACCTCACAGCACTGGCCGGCCCTGCAGTGGCCATTCCCATCCGTCCTCTGCAGAACAGCCAGGCGGCCTGCCAGCTCTCAGTTCTGTTCACCGGGACCTGCACGGAGCAGATGTTCCAAGCCACGCACTGCAGAGGCAGAGGCCGGGCCACGTGTATCAAAAGCTGTGTTTAATGATCAGACTGAACGGCAGCAAGGCCACACGGACAGACGGAGTCAAGGACAGGACCGCCGCCTCTGAACCCCTCCCCAATGGTCCAACGTCCAACACCAAAAAAGAGAGGTCCCCACCCTGTCCCCATGTACACAATGGCTTCAGTGAAGGTGCCATTACTCCCTGGGAAGCTGGTATTCTCTGGAAGGGATCGGGGCTCACCCCTGCCACCCTCTGACGGGAACAGACCCGTGAGAGCGCAGCGCTCAGCGTCCCCGTGTGCAGCTGGGGGTGACTGACTTGACAGAAACAGATTCTGGACTCGAGTCTGGAGGCTGCGAGGACAGGGCGGGTGGCAGGCGGGAGCTGGGGCCCTGGCGCCGCAGACAGCCAGGGTGCAGGCTCTGTCGCTGCGGCCACAGGGAGCGCTGCTTCGGAAGTGACCACGTGCAGCGAGGGGAGGATGCCAGGGCCTGGGGCCACACCTTGGTCAGCGAGCAGAGGATGCCAGGGCCTGGGGCCACGCCTCAGTCAGTTCCTGCATGGACGTCTCTGCCCCGGAGTCAGGAGAACCTCATCAGTGAGTAGACCACGCCAGTGGCAGATGTCCTCGTGGGTTCCAGAAGCTCCTAGATGCTGGGTCCAGAGGGTTAAGAACCACGCACCAATGCCGCTGCCACAGGGAGAACCCAGGCCCAAGCCCCTCTCGGCGGAAAAGCAACACAGGGCCCACGCGGGGAGTGAGGTTGGGTGCCAGGAGCAGCCAGGACCTCCCGCAGCCCAGTCCCTCCCTCCCAGGGCCCCAGGGACCCCCGAGGGCCTGACCCAGCCTGCCTGGCGCCTACCCCTGCTTGTCAGAAGGGCAGTCTGAGATGTCCACCCCACCAGGTGGCACCAGCAGGACTTCTAGAAGTTGCGACTGTTTATTAAAACGGGGAGGAGTGTGCAGGCACGGCCAGGTGCCTCCGGCTGAGGGCAGGGCGGGGCCTGAGCCAGGGGAACAGGCTTGTCCACTCACTGCCAGCCTCGTTCACACCCCGAAACCCTGCCCCACAGGCCTGTCTCAGTCAGCGTCAGGGTCCAGATGCCGCCCCGGCCACCAGGCCGTGTCCTAGGCTTGGAGGTGGCTTCCAAACCTCCCAGGGGCTCCGATCTGCTCAAGAGGGAAAAGCGATGCCTTCTGGGAGACAAAGCTGCTCCTCCGCCCGAGAACAGGATGCCGTGGGGAGGAAGGTCACCTGAAGGACGAAGCGGCCGGTGAGCACCAAGTGTGTCTGCCGGCCAGAGTCCACCCACGCCTGCTCACTCATGCAGACGGCGCTTGAGGGGTCTGCAGAGAGGCCGGGCAGGGCCTGCGAGGACGGACTCCAGTGGGGAGGAGGACGGACCCGCAGAGGGCTTGTGGCAGCCGGGCGAGCTTGGAGCAGCAGGCGTGCAGCCGGGGCAGCTGGGCTGGGCGCGGGCACGGACCACGGGGGTCTCGGCAAGGATGAGCACCATGTTGGGGCGGGTGGGGACAGCACAGGCCTCAGTGCCGGGGACAGGCATCTGTCCGTCTGTCTCCAGCAGGCGCCAGGCAGCCCCAACATCTTGGTATGGCGGGCACGGCAGCGAGCGTCTCACCCCTCCCCTAGGCCAAGGCGCCAGGCTGAGCTACCCGGGCACGGCTGGGCCTGGTCCCGGCCCTCGGGTTCAGCCGGGCTCCCAGGCTCCCGCGTGGCGGCTCCAGCCCCCGTCTCCTCGGGCACACAGGGTTCTGGGGGCTGCTCCGCAGGCTGGGGAGGTGTGGCTGGTTCTTTGCCGGGTGGCTTGCGGGGACAGCGGTGTGGCCGAGTCTTTGGGAGGCTGCAGGCTGTCGGCTGGCGCTGGGGCCCACGGAGATGGAGGTAGGACTTTCTACAGGAGAAGGGAGGCAGAGGTGAGAAGACAGGGACCCAGAGGAGGGCCCTGGTAGGGGCCACGACACCCAGCACCCGCAGGCCACGGGGGCAGGGTTAAAATGCGGCGCCATCCCCAGGGGCTCTGGACCCAGGCTTGGGACAAGCAGAGGTGTCCCAAGGAGGGGGCCGGCTCCATGGCCCATGGGCACCCAGGACCCCGTCCATCCGCACAGGGGCCGCGGGAGGGGAACCCAAGGCCAGCAGAGGCTGGGAGCTGTGCAAAGCCCCTCCAAAGAGAAGCCCGGACTCTCCGTCTCTCGGCCCTGGGGCCTGGTCCTCGGCTTCTCCTGAACTTTCTGAAATACCCATCAGAATGGGGAAACCTTTGGGGTGGGGGTGCTGGCCCCAGGAGACCTCTCCCTCGGGCCTGGTCTCAGGACATGGTCCCATCTGTGGGACCCATGAGCCCGGCTTGGCCCTGGAACCACAGCTCGACCCAATGCATCACACCAGTGCGGCAGGATGGGTGTGGTTTAACTTCCACAAAAACATGATGCAGGACCGCCACACGCGGCGGGCACCACTGAGAAACGCGGCATCACCCGCAGAGGGAGGCCGGCTACGGGAGGAGCTGCACCGATGCCCAACAGCCTGAGGATCGCCCTGCGGCGTGGGGCTGCTCCCTGGGTGGTCATGGCCTCCGAGAGGCACTGCCCGGAGGGGTGGGGGCAGCTCTCGGGCGCAATGTGCCTGAGTCTCGGGAACCCAGGAAGTCGCCCCTCTTGGTTAAGCACCCCACAGCCCATTGGAAGGGGGGTCCCACCCACTTCTCGTTTTACAAAAATCACAAAAGCAGAACGGACGTGGCGTTAAGCCCTCCCTGCAACGTGCACGGTTAACCCTTGCCAGCCGCCCCTGCCTCGCCGAGGGGGACGGGACAGGGGACAGGGCTTCCACAGCCAGGGCCAGCCTGCTCCCCTCGCACAGGGCTCTGCGGCCCACTCCCAGTCGGGCGCCTCGCGCTCAGCAGGAGAGACGACGGATGCCCAATGCCCACACAAGTGGGGCGCCAGTGACCGTTATGGGGGAAGCAACTTTAGCAAGGACAGGGCACCCCCGGGTCCCACCCCAGCATGTCCGTCCACCGGCGCCACACGCGCACGACACCCAAAGCAGACGCTGCCGGGACCCTGACCCCGTCGCGGCCGCGGGGCTGCTGTGGCTGGAGGCCTCACTCAACTTGAACTCTAGTTACGGGCTCACTAGGCGACTGTTTCTCACAGTCAGAGCAAACTGGTATTCACCGCAAAGCCGCTGCCCGTCCAGAACACGGCCAGCTCCCGGCGCCAGAGTGCCACGGCGCAGCTTGTCACCAGCGTGCAGGGCACCAGGTAGAGGAGAGCGGGCTGGCCACGCTGCATCAGGGCCAACGCCACGAACGTCACCAGGAGGCCAACGCCATAGGCTGTGGGGACAGAGGAGGCATCACCTCAGCCAGGCAGGCCGGGGCCACCAGCCACTTCCCTGGGAGCAATGCGAGCGGGCTGGGCGCGGTGGAGGGCAGGGGTGTGCAAGGACGGGAGAGGTAGAGCGGGGGTTCAGCCAGCAGGGCCACAGGCTCCTCGAAGTACATGGATCCTTCCGGCAACCTCCTGGGCCGCACTCCCACCCTGCCCCAGCGGGGCCAGTGAGAGGGGCGTCAGGGTCACCGAGGACACGGAAGGGGCAGGGCAAGGAGAGGGACAGGCAGGGGCAGGCTTCGGGCAGCTGCAGGACAGCGGGAGGCAGACGTGATAGCGGACGGGGGCTGCAAGACATGTCCAGGATGCAGTTTCTATGAACCTCTGAGAAAATCAGCCAAAGGTGAGCCTGTGCCTGACCAGAAAACCCTTGGACACCAAGCTGGGGGCGCATCAAGTATGTTCTCAGGAGACACCCAGTGAAAGGTCTGGGGTCAAGGGGCACGGTGTCCCCCCACCGGCGCGGTGCCCCAGTCCCCTGAGAACACAGCCTGTGATTTACATATGTGTGTAAGTACACAAATGTGCACATGGCCACCCTTGGCACCCGCAGGGGAGGGCTGCCAGGACCCCCTTGCTCACGTCCCTGACGTAAACGGGTGCAGTGTCTGCCTAGAACCCACACACGTCCTGCCGAACCATAAATCCCTGTAGGTTCCTACAAATACAAACACGACGTCACTGCGGGCGGTGGCTGTCCCATGGCACTGCTTAGGGAATACCGGCCCAAAAAATCCGGGTATGTTCAGTACAGATGCAATTTCTTCTCCCCAAATACTTTCAACCCACAGCTGGTGGAATCCACAGCTGCGGAACCCAGGGCTAGGGAGGGCCAAGTGGAGTACACGGGAGAGCGCGTGAGTGTGTGGAGAGAGAGAGAACGGAATCAAGCGAATGTGAGGAAATGACCAGTCCCTCTGAGAACGGGGCACACAGGAGTTCTCTGTACCAACCCTGCAACTGTCATTTAAAATTTCAAAATAAAGCTCTGAGAAAATTAACTTTTTACTAGAACATTCTTAAAAAAGAGCCGCTGTGTCCAGCAAGCACACTGCTCCTGGCACTTTTTCTAATACTCATCTCTGTATTTCTGACACCATGGCCACAGGGAGCGTCCCTATTGGTCCATTTTTAGACCATCCACGTGTCCATCAGCCATCATCGACAGACGCAGAGACAAACGGAGAGGTCTGGCGCCTATAAAATCTCAGTGGCTTCGATCTCAGGAATTACAGGGACAACTTGACAAATTATGCTTCAGGAGAGAAAAATCTCTGCTGCTGTGTTTTTATTTTTTCTTTCATTTTATTTTTTCGAGACAGGGTCTTACTCTGTTGCCCAGGCTGGAGTGCAGTGGCCCGATCATGACTCACTGCAGCCTTGAACTCCCAGGCTCAAGTGATCCTCCCACCTCAGCCTCCCGAGTAGCTGGGGCTACAGGCACATGTCACCATGCCTGGCTAATTTTTGTATTCTTCTGCAGACACAGGGTCTTACTATGTTGCCCAGGCTGGTCTTGACTCCTGGGCTCAAGCAATCCCCCCACCTCAGCCTCCCAGAGTGCTGGGATCACAGACATGAGCCCCTGGGCCCGGCCTCAGCCGTGATTTTAAAGGATAATCATGAAGACGGTAAAATGGGGCGAGGGGAAAGCCAGGGTCACCTGCAGCTGCAGGAAGCAGGGGTGAGAGGACCACCACCAACCAAAGGGCCCTGCAGGCCAGCCTGAGCTCTCCTGGCCCTGGGAGTGGACGTCAGGGAGCCACGTGGAGGGCTGGGTCAAGGGCATGGCTCAGCAAAGGTGGCTCACCCTCGTGCCCATGAACCAGAAAGCACCACAGCTTCTTAGGGCCGGCTGTGGTGGGGGGACATTTCTTAAAACAATGTCGGTCAACAGAAAACGGCACTTTGTATAAACACTTTCATAACAACCGAAACAGTAGAAGACAAAGCAAAGAAGAAAAAGACACAAAGAGGAAAACAGGAAAGAAAAGGAAAAGAACAGAACAGAACAATGGAAGCCAGGGAGAATGAGAAAGAGGGGGATGCAGGCACAGGCCCAGGCACAGGCCCAGCCACCCGAGCCCAGCTCCCAGAGCGGCCAGGGGTTAGGGTTAGGGTGTTACGGTTTAGGATTAGGGTGTCATGGTTATGGTGTTCGAGTTGGAGTTAGGGTTGGGGTTGGGGTCAGGGTCAGGACAGAGGCTGAGTCAGGGCAGGGCTGGAGCCGGAGTGGCCAGCATGGGCTCGACCGAGGCACTTACCCGATGGTGCAGGCCACGAAGTATACTCTGGAGGACTGTACCTGGATGTCGAACCTGTGGCAGTAGGCCACCAGCAGCCCTGGGGGAGGCACACAGAGGAGGCTCACCTGGGCCCACAGAGCCTCGGAGTGGGCGCTCCCTGGGAGCAGGAGGGCGCCTGAGCACTTGTGGGCACCATGGGCCTCTCGCTGCCCAGTGGCTGCTGTCATTTCACAGACAGGCCCACACGCTTGCTCAGGACAGGGCTGCCATGACTCTGTGGGTAAACTGAGATCACAGTGAGAGCAAAGCCCAGGCAGACACACCTGGCAGGACCCTGGGGACACTGAGGCTGAGAGGGTACAGTCTCTGCCTTCAGAGCAACATGAGCTCACTGGGACCAGGCCCCAGCAAGGACCCCTGCGCAACCCTGAGCAGGATGGGGTGAGGCTGTCTGCCATCGGGAGGCCCTTCCCTGCTCCCTAGGACCCAAAGCGGTCCCTACTCCACCCGGACAATGCCCTCGCTGCCCAGGCAACAGGCCTCGACGGCCCCAACCTGCCCGACCCTGACCCTCGGCTTTATCTGCAGCCAACGGTGCGCAGGCCGCTCACTCCCAAGGGCAAACCTCAGTCACCCAGGGCCTTGCCCCACAGCACAAACCGTGTGCCCCACCCGCCTCAGCACCTGGCACCAAAATGTCTCCGAAACCCAGGAGGGAGAAGGGCCGGTCACACAGAGCCAGAGGTGAGAGGTTCAGCCTGGGCACCTTCAGGACCATGGGCAGCTGCAAAGACGGGAAGAGGACAATGTCCTCCAGGACCCTTGTCCGGCCGTGGGAGGCCTCCAGCCCCATCCCTCTCGGCGCGACACCTTGGCCCATGGCAACGTGAGGCCCTGCGGTCAGAGGACGCACCTTCTCACGGGTAGCTGAGTCCGAGGCCCCGTGGCCACCTCCACCATGATGCTGCTCCCACTCTGCACAGAAGGGGGTTGAGTGAGGGAGCGGGGTGATGGGGCGGGGGAGCGGGGTGATGGGGCGGGGGAGCGGGGTGATGGGGCGGGGGAGCGGGGGGGCGGGGTGATGGGGCGGGGCGGGGTGATGGGGCGGGGGAGCGGGGTGATGGGGCGGGGGAGCCGGGTGATGGACGGGGGCGGGGGAGCGGGGTGATGGGGCGGGGGAGCGGGGTGATGGATGGGGGCGGGGGAGCAGGGTGATGGGGACGGGGGAGCGGGGTGATGGGATGGGGCGGGGGAGCGGGTGATGGGGGCGGGGGAGCAGGGTGATGGGATGGGGGCGGGGAGCGGGGTGAGGTGGGGGCGGGGAGCGGGGTGATGGGATGGGGCGGGGGAGCGGGGTGATGGGGCGGGGGAGCGGGGTGATGGGATGGGGGCGGGGGAGCAGGGTGATGGGGTGGGGCGGGGGAGCAGGGTGATGGGATGGGGGCGGGAGCGGGTGATGGGGCGGGGAGCAGGGTGATGGGATGGGGGCGGGGAGCAGGGTGATGGGGCGGGGAGCAGGGTGATGGGATGGGGGGGGGGAGGGGGTGATGGGGGCGGGGAGCAGGGTGATGGGAGGGGGCGGGGGAGCGGGGTGATGGGGTGGGGCGGGGGAGCGGGGTGATGGGATGGGGGCGGGGGAGCGGGGTGATGGGGGCGGGGGAGCAGGGTGATGGGATGGGGGCGGGGGAGCAGGGTGATGGGGGGCGGGGGAGCGGGGTGATGGGCGGGGGAGCAGGGTGATGGGATGGGGCGGGGGAGCGGGGTGATGGGGGGGCGGGGGAGCGGGGTGATGGGATGGGGGGGAGCGGGGTGGGATGGGGCGGGGAGCGGTGATGGGGCGGGGGGAGCGGTGATGGGGGGGGGGGGGGAGCGGGGTGATGGGATGGGGCAGGGGGAGCGGGGTGATGGATGGGGGCGGGAGCGGCGGGTGATGGGATGGGGGCGGGGGAGCAGGGTGATGGGGCGGGGAGCAGGTGATGGGCGGGGGAGCGGGGTGATGGGGCAGGGGAGCGGGGTGATGGGGCGGGGGAGCGGGGTAATGGGATGGGTGGGGGAGCGGGTGATGGGGCGGGGGAGCGGGTGATGGGGCGGGGGAGCGGGGTGATGGGATGGGGGCGGGGAGCGGGGTGATGAGGCAGGGGAGCGGGGTGATGGGGCGGGGGAGCGGGGTGATGGGATGGGGCGGGGGAGCGGGGTGATGGGATGGGGGCGGGGGAGCAGGTGATGGGGCGGGGGAGCGGGGTGATGGGCAGGGGAGCGGGGTGATGGGGGGGGGAGCGGGGTGATGGGATGGGGTGGGGAGCAGGTGATGGGGCGGGGGAGCGGGGTGATGGGCGGGGGAGCGGGGTAATGGGATGGGGGCGGCGGAGCAGGGTGATGGGGCGGGGGAGCGGGTTGATGGGATGGGGCAGGGGAGCGGGGTGATGGGGCGGGGGAGCGAGGTGATGGGATGGGGCAGAGGAGGGGTGATGGGGCGGGGGAGCGGGTGAGGGATGGGGGCGGGGGAGCGGGGTGAAGGATGTGGGGGGGCAGCAGGGTGATGGGCGGGGGAGCGGGTTGATGGGATGGGGGCAGGGGAGCAGGTTGATGGGGCTGGGGAGCGAGGTGGATGGGGGCAGGGAGCGGGGTGATGGGGCGGGGGAGCGGGTGATGGGGCGGGGGAACGGGTGATGGGGCGGGGGAGCGGGTTGATGGGATGGGGGCAGGGGAGCGGGTGATGGGCGGGGGGAGCGGGGTGATGGGATGGGGTGGGGAGCAGGGTGATGGGGCGGGGAGCGGGTTGATGGGATGGGGGCAGGGGAGCGGGTTGATGGGGCGGGGGAGCGGGGTGATGGGATGGGGGCGGGGGAGGGGGTGATGGGGGGGAGCGGGTGATGGGATGGGGGCGGGGGAGGGGGTGATGGGATGGGGGCGGGGGGAGCGGGGTGATGGGAGGGGGCGGGGGGAGCGGGTGATGGGATGGGGGGCGGGGGGAGCGGGGTGGATGGGGCGGGGGAGCGGGGTGATGGGATGGGGGCGGGGGAGCGGGGTGATGGGATGGGGCGCGGGGAGCGGGGTGATGGGATGGGGCGGGGGGGGGGTGATGGGATGGGGCGGGGAGCGGGGTGATGGGGTGGGGCGGGGGAGCGGGGTGATGGGGCGGGGAGCGGGGGTAATGGGGGCAGAGCGGGGTGATGGGATGGGGGCGGGGAGCGGGGTGATGGGATAGGGCGGGGAGCGGGGTGATGGGGTGGAGCGGGGTGCAGGCGGTCGCCTACCTTGGTCAGGAAGGGCGTGATGAACACGAAGAAGATGTCGTAGAGAAACAGCACCAGCAGCAGCAGTGTGCAGGCCTGCGGAGCCCCATGGTTGAGGGCGGCCCCCACCCCCGGCCTGCGCCTCCCCTACACCCCCTTCCACTCCCACCTCATGAGGCCCAGCGCCTCCTCCCGGGAGGAAGCCTTTAAAGGAACCCCGCGGAGAGCCAGTGCTGGGCCGCACCATGCAGGAGCAGCTCTGGAAGCAACATCAGGTCGGGATTTAAGGACAAAAGTTAGGCTTTCAGAGTCTCCGTGTCACAGGAGGAGGGGCAGAGGGTGGGGGCCCATGCCACGCCCGGGCCGGCTCTGGGGATACAGGGGGGCCGTCCCAGCATTCAAATGCCACTCGCTTTGGGGTCCCGTGGGGCCCTCACGGGAATGTGGCCGCCTGGGGCTTGACCACACCCCCGTGGGCTCGCGGTACCACGGAGGCCAGTTCCTTCAGCCCTATTCCACCGCTCTCCCCACCACCTCATGCAGACATATGAGTTGCCCCTGCCGGGACCACCGCCCCACAGTCACCCACCCAGGCCGCCTCGGCAGGGGCTTTGGGACCCCAATCTTCAAGACCCACCCTTGACAACAGGCCTAGTGCCCATAGCCAGGGCAGTGAGCAGGAGCACAGACCTGCAAGGACCACAGCCCCACATGGGCCAGGCTGGGGGAAGGCCCCCGCCACCCACGCTGCCCCGTAGCCGCACCCTCCCCCGCGCTCACCTTGAAGGTGGGCAGACGGATGGTCTTCAGCATGTAGAGGCAGAAGGCGATGCCCAGGGCGTCCTGGAGGACCCAGGCCCACCTGCAAGACAAAGCAGCATCCCTGCTGGGGTGGAGGCCGGCTGACCACCCAGGACGCCGCCTCCCACGAGCCACACACAGGGCCTTCGCTCTCAGCCAGCAGGCGGCCCTGCTGCACTTCCACCTGCCCAGGGGACGACCCTGAGGACCCCAGACCTGTGGGAGGACCCCTGCTGTTACAACTCCAGCAGGGCGGGCGGCACAGGCCCCACCCCAGGGCCCCCCTGCAGAAGCAGGTAGAGGAGCCCACCACTCTGCAGCCAGGACGGTGGACACAGGCCTGGCCGGCTGCGTCCCTCAGTCACTGTCCCCGGATGGTGGGTGCCAGGCTGGAGGCAGCGGCCAGGCAGAGGGTGCATGTGCAGGAGGGCTCGGGCACTGACCCTCTCCAAACTGTTTTTGTTTTTGAGATGAAGTCTCACTCGGTCGCCCAGGCTGGAGTTTGGTGCACGATCGTGACTCACTGCAGCCTCCGCCTCCCAGGTTCAACAATTCTGCTTCAGCCTCCCTGAGGAGCTGGGATCACAGGCGCCCACCACAACGCCAGGCAGATTTTTTTTGCATTTTTGGTAGAGATGGGGTTGTCATGTTGGCCAGGTTGGTCTCAAACTCCTGACCTCAAGTGATCTGCCCGCCTTGGCCTCCCAAAGTGCTGGGATTACAGGCACGAGCCACCGCGCCCAAACTGTTTATTAAAGTAAAACTTGTGCCACACCAGGTTTCCCTGCAGAACCTCTGGGTCCACAGTGGGTGGGGCTGCCATGCAGTTGGTGCCCTGGAGCAAAGCACAGAACCGCCTCCTGAACAAGGCCACAGCCCTGCAGCCAGCCGCAACCTTGACTCTCTCCCGGCCCCATGAAGCCCCAGCGTCCCGCTGGCCCCTGCCCCCATGGAGGCTCTGCCTGCCACTTGCTGGACGAGCTGCCCAGCGTTCCTCAGCGTCTCAAACATCACAGGTTCATTTGAAAATGGGATAAAACCTCCCCCGGGCAGGCGGCTGCTGAGAACAGAGGCCGCCATGGAGACGCTGGACAGTCAATTCCAGCGCCACACGCCACAAGCACCCAGAGAACTGCGGCCAGTTATTTTTTCTGATTTTATGTTATTTCTTAATAGAAATAGAAAGGGGCTCTCGCTTGTTGCCCAGGCTGGTCTTGAACTCCTGGGTAAAGTGATGGTCCTGCCTTGGCCTCCCAAATGTTGGGATCCCAGCCGTGAGCCCCTGCGCCCAGCTGACTGCGGCCTGCTCTAACTTCACGTGACGGAATGAGTTTCCTGGCTTGGAAATAACTGAAAGGATTCATTTTCCCTTTGTGTACAAAGGATTCAAAATATTTTCACGTCTTCCTTCTGCCAGTTAAACGTGCTGCGGCTCCAATACACACCAAAGCCAAGCGCACTTGGCTGCCTCGGGAAAAAGCCGAGAGGAAGCGCCAGACGGTATCAGTGACGGTGGCGGGAGCCGGGGGGGACAGGCCAGCTCCGTCCTCCCAACACAGTGCCAGGCACTCGGCCTCATCAAGGAGGCCTGGACGGCAGGAGGCAGCCACAAGTCCAGGCCTCGTGGGAGCTGAGCAAGGAGGGAGCAGTGCCTGCCCCACCTCCATCACTGCTCAGAGGCCGTGGCAGGCATGACCAAGAGGATCGGCTGCCCTGGAGCCCACACCCTGGTCCTCAGGCCTGCAGTGCGCACGTTGGTGCCAGAGACGGGGACAGCGGGGGACAGACTGGCTCTGGGCAGTGATGCCCTGCACAGGAGTCCCATCCAGGCCTGCTGGAGGACATGGCTCCCGGCCACAGAGGCTCTGGCCTCTCCTCCCAGATTCCAGTCAGGGTTCCCATGGCACCCGGACAAACCCAGGTGAAACGACCCCACGGCCCCATCAGGGCAGCCCGGGGCCAGGGCTTTTCATAACATGGTCCTGAAGCGGCTCCAGGCTGGGGCAGCCTCCAGGAGGGCAGAGAGTCAGGGCCCCAGGAGCCCTGTGGGAGGGAGCATCTGAGGATGCCACCGCCCGCCGGGGCCCGGGGGAGGCAGCACTTACTGGTCCTCATTGCGGAAGACACCCCACACTACGCTGACGGCCACGCAGAAGAGCGCCAGGAGCAGCATGCGGGCCTGCGGGCGCTTGTGGAAGTAGGGCAGGCTGTTGTTGGGGATCCTGGGGGGCACGGGGCAGTCAGAGCCAAGCCCACCAGCCCCCGGCCTCATCCCACTGCCCACCACCCTTGGGCCCTGCCCAGGCACCCCCTCCAGAGTGGCAGCCCCCACTCTGTCCTCATTAAACTCCACATCCCCGCACGATGACAACAGTAGGCACCCCAAGGGCAGGGCAGAGCCTGGCCCAGACAGGTGCTGGGGGGCGCTGGCTGCACCCACAGAGCCCCCTCGCCTGCGCTGCACCCCTCACCCGACGCACCCAGGGACAGCAACCCACAAAGGTCTCCCCTGGGCGAGCCCCGCTTCCTAGACCCAGGTCTGATCTTGCTGGAGACGCCCCCGGAGCTCCCTTTACCCCTAAGAGCCAGGCCCAGCTCTGCACTGTGGGAAACCTTCTGGGTTCCCTGGAGAACCCTGGTGCCCTCCCATGCCCCGGCCAGCCTGCCACCTGGGGCAGGGTTCTGGGGACAAGAGCACCCTCCCCCCGCCACCCCGGTGCCTGGCTGCTGGCGGGCTCCGCTGATAGCTCGCCCGGACTCTGCCCTGCTCCTGGGCCTTGGAACCACAGGCAAGCGCTGAGGAAGCGCCCACTGTAGACTCTGAGCTACACTGCACCATGGGGGGCTATGGGGCAGCAAAGGGGCCGCGGTCATCACCGCGCAGAGTCAGGCACGTCGGGGCCAGCGAGGCAGCCTCACCTGCACTTGCCGAAGGGCAGCCGCCGCACACAGGGCGCCAGGCAGCTGTACAGGCCGGTGGCGGAGGCCAGGCAGAAGATCCCGATGACCACGTACACTGCAGGGGCAGGGCCGTGAGGCCAGAGGCCAGGCCCGCACACCACCCTCCCTCCCTCAGGGCCGGCTGCATCTCCACGCCGCGGCCCACCCGCCTGGGGCCGCGCACCGAGGAGGTCATAGAAGTAGTAGAGCAGCACCAGCATGGAGCAGCACATCACCACGAACACGCAGGTCATCACTGGCGTCACGTCCACCGCCTCGTCCTCCTGCTTCTCGGGCCCGTCGTCGCGCTTGTGCTTCATGTACCTTCTTGGGAGACACCACGGGGTCACGGGGCGCTGGGGCCGGCTGGCCTACACGAGGCCCAGGAGTCCACAGCTACCCAGGGGAATGCGGCAGAAAACCCGGGAGCAGGAGGGGACCCGGGGGGGACTGAAGTGCAAGGAACTGCCCCAAACGTCCCCAGGGCAGAGGAGACCACACAGCAGAGGGTGGCCGGGCTCCCGTCCCTGGGTTGAGCTGGGGCGGCCACTAGGCCGGGCCAGAGGCTGCTGTGCGGGTTCTGCATAAAGAGCCCTGGACATGGGGCCTTCCCAGACCCGGGCGGCTGGGCAGGAGAGGGGAGCTAGCCCCAGCCACCTGCCCGCCCTGCACCTGCCACGCCCGTACCTGCCACATCCACACCTGCCCAGCCCTGCACACCCACCGGGTCCCGGAGCCCACCCCAGCAGGAAAAGAGCCTGATTCTGTCCCAGGACCTCCTGAGGAAGAAAGGAAGGGCTCCACGGGGCGAGCCGTGCCTGCCCAGGCCAAAGCGGTCACTGCTGTTCCGGATGGGAAGACTGGCCGTCCCAGGCCGCGTCAGAGCCGCCCGCCCACCCGCCCGCCCATCACAGCCCACGCACGGCGCAAAACTCACTTCTTCACGTCCCGACTCCCGGCCCAGTAGCCGCCGATGGCGACAGTGCCCACGGCCATGATGAAGATGATGACCATGTTGTAGTCCAGCACTGGCTCATGAGGCGCATACAGTGCCACCCTCACCATGCGGCCGAAACGCTGCCTCAAGGAACACACCAGGGGCAGGCATCAGAGCCACCCGCCAGCCACGGGTCAGCGTGCAGCGGTGGGCTATGGGGCTGGGGCTGGAGACCCTGGCCTGCAGGGGCCACGCCTCACCCACCACCCCGGCACAAACCCCCCCGGCAGCCAGCCCGAAGCCCCCGCCCCATCTCCTCGGGAGCGCGCGTCTGAGCAGCGGCAGGCCTACCCTGAAGATGTCCAACATGTCTTTGTAGCTGAGCAGGGCCACAGGAATGCCAATCTCATCATATTGCGTCTTATTGCCCCCCGGGGGGACCTGGGGGCCCAGAGGAGGGAGCGGCAGGCATCACCCGCAGCAATGGGTGGGCCCCCAGCTCTGTGCCCATTGCCTCCTCTCCTGGGACCCTCACTCGAGGCTCAGGCCAGGCTGGGGGCGCCTGTCTGCTCCCCCTCTGCACCTGACAGCCTCCGGCCTCCCAGGAGGACCCAAGGACCGGGAGGCCCAAGGGCATCAAGACTTCTTCACCCGACAACAGGGCCCCGGGCCTAAGACAGCCAATCCCTCCCTCAGCCGTGGGACTCCCTAACCGCACACACACGTCCTGAGTGACACTTGTCACAGCCCACGCCTGCCCACTAGGCCACCTTGAGCCCCGCACCCACTGAGGGCCTCTCTCAATGACGACGGCAGCACGTGCAGACGGGGATGACACCCTCGGCTCTGCCCGGCCTGCTCTGGCCTCAGCCCTGAGACCCTGCCCCAGGCCTCCCCAGGTGGCCAGGCTCAGGCTGCAATGCTGGCGGGGGCAGCCTAGAGCCACGGGCAGGGCTGTGAGGGAATTCCTGCACTCCATTTTCTTCTTACCCCAAAACTACACTTCAGGGGTGCTGTGCACCCTGCCCAGCCCAGCAGTCAGCGTGTCCCCTGCTGTGACCAGCCTTGCCAGGCCCCCAGTTCTCAACCACAGCCCGTTTCACAGCAGATGGAAAAGGGGCTGGGCTTCAGGCCACTTGGATAGGACCACACAGGTGAGCACAGCCCCACCGGCTCGAGAGCCAGGGCACCAGGGTCCCCAGAAGGGGCCAGTTCAGGGCCAGGCCATCTGCTCCGCAGAAGACACCCCAATCCCATCCCTATGGAGAGTGTGGTTTCCCTCACCCCGGGGGCTGCTCTAGCACAGGCACCCAGCAAGACCACGGCCAAAGTTCCACAGCCCCGGCCGGCAGCACAGAAAGAACAGACTCATCTCTGCCCTCCCCACAGCCACACTCAGCCCGGATCCTCCCCACAGCCACACTCAGCCCGGATCCTCCCCACAGCCACACTCAGCCCGGATCCTCCCCACAGCCACACTCAGCCCGGATCCTCCCCACAGCCACACTCAGCCCGGATCCTCCCCACAGCCACACTCAGCCCGGATCCTCCCCACAGAGGGCCTGCCTTTGGTGAGAAATCAGAAGAGCAGCCCCTGCCGCTGCTGCCTCCTGCACCCCCCTCCTGCCCCTGAGAGCTGGCTCGGCGGTGGGGGTGCAGGGCCGTACCAGCCTCTCCCTGCTGACGATGAGCAGCCCGCGTGCTCCGCTGCCCTGGGCCAGCCTCACTTTCTCATAGAAGGTGCAGTTCCCCCGGGCCACCAGCGGGATCTGGTTGCCAAAGCCGTGGGCAGGGAGGTCCGCTGCGGAGCAGAGCAGGGAGGCCGTCCAGTTGCGCAACTGCAGGAAAGACTGGAAAGGCCAGGGCACGGTTTCGTCTCACGTGATGTGAGTCACCAGGAGGACCCAGCTGCCCCTTCTCCCAACCGAAGCCTGCGCTGAGTTAGATCTCGGCTCTCGCCTAAAGCCCCGCATGGCCTCGGCCCCACCTAGGCAGAGCCATCCCTACGGTGGTTCCCACAGCAGGGCGCTGGGCGACGGGTTGGGGCGCCTCATCTGAGCAGGGCCGGAGTCCTCACAGACAAGGCTGTCCCCTGACACCTGAGCCACCCTGCGAGCCATCACAGCTCACTCAGCAAGACCGAGTGGGTCCCCACCACAGCCCCACCACGGCCAGGCATCTGTGAGAAACCAGTGTGCGGGGTTCCAGTGTGCGGAGAACAAGGCCCCGACTCTCAGCGACCTCACAGCCCAGGAAGGAAGCCAAGACACACGTGCACACGCACACATGCGCACACAGCCAGGCCGGTGCACACACACACACGCACACCCACAGCCAGGCTGGAGCACACACCCACAGCCAGGCCGAAGCACATGACACACACACGCACACATGCACACACACACGCACATACCCACTGCCAGGATGGAGTGCACACACATGCACGTGCACACATAGCCAGGCCGAAGCACAAGGTACACACATGCAGACGCAAGCACACACATGCGCACTCACGCTCAAGCACACACATACCTATTACACACGCGCACACACGTGCACACACACATAGCCCAGAGCACACGGCACACACGTGCACAGGCAAGCACACACCTGTGCACTCCTGCTCGGGCACACACACCTATTACACACACATGCATGCACACACACCACACGGATTCACACAGACAAACGCACTCAGGCACGTGCGCATACCTACGACACATGAGCTCACACGCACACACTCATGCACACACGAACTCGAATACACAGGCACACCCACACACAAACCTATCATGCACACGCACACACATATACGCACACCTATTACACACGCACGCGTGCGCAGACACATGCACGTATCCACAAACATACCTATTACACGGTTACGTGCTTACACACACCTGTACACACACACACGCACTCACACACCCATACAGAAACCTACTACATGCACGCTCACACACGTGCACACATACACACTCAGACCCATGCACATGCCCCCACACACCTATTACACACGCTCACATGCACACGTGTGCTGACACACCCACACACGCACTAAGGTACATACATGTCCATGCACATGTCTATTACACATGTGCTCACACACACACTCAGGCATATGCACACATACACTCACGCAAACTCACATAAACATGCACTCAAGACACGTACGCATGTGCAGGCACGTACCAATTACACACGTGCTCACGCACACACTATGAACAAAGCAGACAGGAAGACCCTAGCACCTCTTGGCCGACAGGCCTCAAGGGATCCAGGAGGGGGCGGGACACAGTGGGAAAGGATGCGGGGCCTGAGGGAAGCAGTGGGAAAGGAGGTGGGGCCTGAGGGAGGCAGGGTCTGAGGGACACAGTGGGAAAGGAGGCGGGGCCTGAAGGACTCAGCAGGAGAGGTGGGGCCTGAGCAATGCAGTGGGAAAGGAGGCGGGGCTTGAGGGGTGCAGTGGGAAAGGAGGCAGGACCTGAGGGACTCAGTGGGAAAGGAGGCGGGGCCTGAGGGACTCAGTCGGAAAGGAGGTGGGGCCTGAAGGATACAGTGGGAAAGGAGGCGGGGCCTGAGGGACACAGTGGGAAAGGAGGCAGGGCCTGAGGAACATGGTGGGAAAGGATGCGGGGCCTGAGGGATGAAGTGGAAAAGAGGGTGGGGCCTGAAGGATGCAGTGAGAAAGGGGGCAGGGCCTCAGGGATGCAGTGGAAAAGAGGGCGGGGCCTGAAGGATGCAGTGAGAAGGGGGCAGGGCCTGAGGGATGCAGTGGGAAAGAGGGCAGGGCCTGAAGGATGCAGTGAGAAGGGGGCAGGGCCTGAGGGATGCAGTGGGAAAGGAGGTGGCGCCTCTGAGGGAGGGAGGGACCCACCCAGCAGCAGGTGTTAGTGCCCCAGTCGGGAAGATGGTGAAAGGAACAGGTCTCATCCACGAGACCCCACTGTGTCCTCTGCTGTCACTCCTCCAAGGAGCCCTCTGTCCGGGCCCACCAGATGGGGAGCCCAGCATGGAGCAATAGAGACCCTTGTCCACCACATGGGGCTGAGCCGGTGCCTCTAGGTTTGCATCCCAAGGCCCTATGGACAGCCTGCATTGATGACCAGGGTTAGGGAGGCCCAGGGGAACTAGGGGCTACCCAAGAGTCCCCCAGACCTGGCCAGGGCCTGCCTCTCGCCTCTGGATCTTTCCTGCAGCCCTGGCTGGATGAGTCTCTAGAGCCCTGGGGCCCACGCATTCCCCCCCGCGGCGGCGCCCAGGGGGCGGGTACTTACCGCCTTGCTGAGGTCATGCGGCAGATGGGCCCACTGCGGGTTGTAGAGGATGCAGTAGTCTTTGCCTCTGGGGCCCCCAGCCTCGGAGACCACGTGCACCATGCCGTACTCACAGGCCACCTGCGGGACAAGGCCGGCGATCAGAGCCACAGCACGGGAAACAGGCCCGAGGAGACGAGGATGCCTCCAGGAAGGGCGCCCGTGTTCACGAGGTCGTCTGGGACGCCTCCCCGTCTCGACAGGACAGACAGGGATGTGACGGTGCATGGTTTATAGCAAAGACGCAGACCAGCTCACCTTCCTCAGGGGGCCCCAGGCTGGTGACCATGAGTGTGTCAGGTCACCTCTCTGTGGCTCCCGAGTTTCTGCACCAAAAAACAGGGATCGCATCACCTCCTGGACCTCCCAGGACCAGTGGGCATGGTAGGAGAAGGACAGCCGAAGGCAGAGCCCTCAGCAGGGAAGAAGGGCAGGGCCCGAGCGGACGTGGCCCTGGGCTTGGGCGGGAGGCCTGAACAAGCCTCCACACCCGCCAGGTCTGGGTGGCCTTTGACCCATAGCCCCATGAGCACTGCCTGTCGACTGGCATTCCAGGGGCACAAGGGGGTCCAGGCACATAATGGGTCCCAGACCAGGGGGATGGATCCCAGGTCGGCCGGCATCCCTCAGCTCCTGCTGGAAGAATAGCAGGAAGCAGCTGAGCCAAGGGGCCTACGGGCACTGGGTCCTGAGTGGGACAGGCTGAGGTTTGCCACAGGTCACGCTGCCACCAGCAGGACAGACAGCGTCGTGTTCCCCGCGAAGCCCCAAACCAGCAGAGTCCAGCACAGCAGCTCCCCCTTCCCGGGAGGGAGAAGGAACAGCCAGTCAGGACTTCAAGTTCGTGCTCTCCAGCCTGCAGCAGCAGCAGCTCAGAGAGGGCCACAGGGAGAAGGTCCGGATCCTCTGGCAGGAGCCCCTCACACGGAACGGGGACGAGTGGCCAAAGCCGGCCAAGAGGAGCAGGGGCGGTGGCCCACCGCACCGGGACAGAGCGGGCCCAGGCCCTTGCCATGCTCTCAAAATGAAGTAAGGGGCAGGACCGGGCCCTAAAGCCCTGGACGCCTCCCAGGAGGGTCACGGAGTAGACGGGCCTGGACCAGAAGGGCTGACCCCCGCCTCCTCAACCCAGTGCTTAACAGAGTAGGATGGAGCTATGAGGAAAGACGCAATTCCACATGCAGGAAGCTGGTGCTGCTCACCACACTTCCCACCGCGGGGACCACTGCAGACACTGAGGGGCTCTGGCCTAAGCAGAGCCACGGTTCTCCCAGCAGAGCCCAGTCCAGTCCAGCCGCCCACACCTACCATCCCCACCTTCCTCCTGCTCCCCTGCCCAGGGCCCCCACCCAGCAGCTGACAAGGACATCTCCATCTCATGAGGACACCAGTCACCAGAGGGTCCCACAGGGACGGGGCCCAGGTCCCAGCTGCTGCGTCACACTGCAGACCCTCAGTGTGGGCCCCCAGGGGAGCCCGGCCTGCACAGGGTGGAGGGGTCCCAGGAGAAAAGCCATGTGCCAGGGACCAAGGAGACCCACCCCCGCGCCCTAGGCCCACCTGTTCTCAGGAGTGCCCAGGGCACTCTGCACACTGCAGGCTCCTGGGCCAGGCCTTCCGGAGCTGCAGGGCTCCTGCCAGGTTGTAAACCTCCCAGACAGACAGCCACACCCCCTGGTCCCCAGGGGACCTGCCATGGAAACAAACAGGCCACAGCCATTCACCTCATCAGGAACAGGATGGCAACATATCTGGAGGGGGACTGAGCCGTGCACTGAAAAGGCCAACGCCACAACGCCACAAGGGCCCACAATGCAGAAGCAGCTCTGCCAAGCTGGGGCTGGGGAAGGGGAGCTCTGGCTTGGCTAATGGTCCCGACGGTCCCTGATGCCAGACACCAACCCCAGCACACGGGCACAGATTGGCTCTCCAACAGCCGGGCCCTGACTGAAATCACACAAGGGCTCCGGCCTGGTCTGGGAGCATCTTGATCAAGGCCCTGGTGACCTCGGGGTGGCAGCATGGTGAAAGCCCACGGAGCCCCAGTCCCCACAATCGACTGGGGATCTCATAGCACTTGGCTAATGCTGCTTCCTTCCCACACCTGCCCCAGCCCAACTCCAAGCACCTCCCGTGTGACCTCCCCCAGAGCCGAGGCAGAGTCAGGAGCCTTTCTTTCCAGTTCTGCCCACCAGACTGCCTTCCCTGAGAGCAACCCTTAGTCTGGCCCCGGTGCCGAGCCCGGAGGGTGCCCCTTCCAACACAGCCCCGCAGTGTTCAGACCCCTCGCACCTACTCCAGGAGGGATGTTATGGGTCACGGCAGAGGCCAAGAATCCATAGTCCGGCCCACCGTCTGTGTTTGTAAATAAAGTTTTATTGGAACACAGCCAAGCCCATTCCTAAGGAAGAGTCTCTGGCTCTGGAGGTACAACAGGAGAAACCAAGCATCCGCACCACGGGCCACGTGGGCCACAGAGCCCAGCAAAACTACTGTCTAGCCCTTCCCAGAAAACACCTGCCAAGCTCTGTTCTATGGGATCAGGGACTTTGGTGAAAAGTGTCTATTGTGTAAAATGGGAACCGATAGAACTGCTTCTCTGCTTCTCTCTAAAAGGGTCATTTAAAAGCACAAAAGCACATTCATGCATTTTCCTCTCCACAATTCGCAAAACTGGTTTTCTGTTAAAAAAAACAAGCCTGTGCTTCTATCAAAGGCCAGAGAATGCAGTGGCGTCTCACCAGGAAGTTTCCTCATCTGCTGAGTTAAAGAAACTGGGAACAGCCGGGCGCGGTGGCTCAAGCCTGTAATCCCAGCACTTTGGGAGGCTGAGATGGGCGGATCACAAGGTCAGGAGATCGAGACCATCCTGGCTAACACGGTGAAACCCCGTCTCTACTAAAAAATACAAAAAGCTAGTCGGGCGAGGTGGCGGGCGCCTGTAGTCCCAGCTACTCAGGAGGCTGAGGCAGGAGAATGGCGTGAACCCGGGAGGCGGAGCTTGCAGTGAGCTGAGATCCGGCCACTGCACTCCAGCCCGGGTGACAGAGCGAGACTCCGTCTCAAAAAAAAAAAAAAAAAAAAAAAAAAGAAACTGGGAACTTGGCCGGGTGCGGTGGCTCAAGCCTGTAATCCCAGCACTTTGGGAGGCCGAGACGGGTGGATCACGAGGTCAGGAGATCGAGACCATCCTGGCTAACACGGTGAAACCCCGTCTCTACTAAAAAATATAAAAAACTAGCCGGGCGCCGGGCGCGGTGGCTCAAGCCTGTAATCCCAGCACTTTGGGAGGCCGAGGCGGGCGGATCACAAGGTCAGGAGATCGAGACCACAGTGAAACCCCGTCTCTACTAAAAATACAAAAAATTAGCCGGGCGCGGTGGCGGGCGCCTGTAGTCCTAGCTACTCAAGAGGCTGAGGCAGGAGAATGGCGTGAACCCAGGAGGCGGAGCTTGCAGTGAGCCGAGATCGCGCCACTGCACTCCAGCCTGGGCAACAGCGTGAGACTCCGTCTCAAAAAAAAAAAAAAAAAAACTAGCCGGGCAAGGTGGCGGGCGCCTGTAGTCCCAGCTACTTGGGAGGCTGAGGCAGGAGAATGGCATAAACCCAGGAGGCGGAGCTTGCAGTGAGCTGAGATCCGGCCACTGCACTCCAGCCTGGGCGACAGAGCGAGACTCCTTCTCAAAAAAAAAAAAAGAAACTGGAACAATTAGTCCAACGGCCACAGCTCTGAGGGCCCTGAGTTTTAGTCAGGCCCACCGAAATTTGGAGGAGCAGAAAAAGCTCGGGCTACAAGGACAGGCTCAAAGCCCAGGCCTTGACCTCCAAATCCTTCACAAATCGCAGCACAGATGCTTCGCCACTGCACACTTGTTTAGAAACTTCTAGGCTTAGAAACCCTGCTTTGAAGTGACTGTGAAAGCATCCATGTCAAGGGCCTTTGAAACAGGCCAGTGAGTCAAGCCGGGAGAGCCTCCCTTCTGGGAACTCAGGAGTTCCAGGAGCCAGGCCGGGTCCAGCCAGGGCCACCAGCTCCAGCTGAGATCTGCTGAGGAATGGGCTCTATGGGGTGGGGGAGGGGGTGTCTCACTGGGGAGGTCACTTCCTTGCTCGGGGTCACAGAATGGTAGCAAGCGAGTCGAGGACTGTCACCAAGCAGGCTTCTGCCCAGAGAGCTAGTCTCATTCTGGGCAATCGGACTCAAATTTCCACTGCCACGAAGCACCACCCCCCAACAGGGACAGGCCTCTCAGGGTGTATTTACAACCGGGGTTCTGGGAAGGCCAGAAGCACCTGCTCTCTCACGTCCCTCTGACACGTCCTTTGACTCCCCACCTTCCAGATAAAGCTCACACTCCTCAGCACCCCCAGGTTAAAGTCCATGCACCCCAGCACAGAGAGCCTTCCACAACCTGGTTTCCACCAGGCGGCCTGTCATCCAGCCTAAGAGGCCAAATGCTCTGCCTTCACTCTCTGCCTGGGGCCACTCGCACCACTCCCCCCTCCTCTGTGCCCCTGCTCCAGCGTCCATCCACGGCCCACCCCCTAGGACCTCCTTGGTGGTGACATCTTTCAGGATGTAAATCCTCCCTTCCAGCATTGTTCCACCCTAGACTCCAGCCACAGCCCACCCCTTGCCAACCCCAAATAACCCGCTAGCTCTCACACCTCCCAGCCCCCGCTCATGCTGCTTCTGGTGCTTCCAACACCCTTCCCCTCCTGCCGACCCGGCAAACTCCTACTCATGGCTCAGAACACCTGCTTCAGGGCTGGGCATGGTGGCTCACGCCTGTCATCCCTATACTTTGGGAGGCCGAGGTAGGTGGATCACCTGAGGTCAGAAGTTTGAGACCAGCCTGACCAACGTGGTTAAACCTCATCTCTACTTAAAAAAAAAAAAAAATAGCCAGGTGTGGTGGCGTGCACCTGTAATCCCAGCTATTCGAGAGACTGAGGTGGGAGAATTGCTTGAACCGGGAGGTAGAGGTTGCAGTGAGCTGAGATCATGCCACCGCACTCCAGCCTGGGAGACAGAGCAAGACTCCGTCTCAAAAAAACAAACAAACAAACAAAAAAAACACACCTGCTTCAGAAAAGCCTTCCCAGGCAAACTGAGTCCCTCCCTCCACAGCATTCTGTGATCTTTCTATCTTTCTTCCACCTTTGGCTTTCCTCCTCCTTCCAAATGTCTGGGGTCTCTAGGTCCCTGGCGGCAGAATGGGGGGAGTCCAGGGGGCTGACAGGGCAGCTGGGGGTGGAGGTGCGGTTCGCAGAAAGCTTCTGAGGGGGCCCTCCAGCCTTGCAGAGACCACGGGCGTTTCAGGGTAAGAGAAAAGACTAGACATCGAAGCTCCTGCAATGAGCTGCAGGCTTCCCTGGCGCCAGGTCACAACTGGACGGCACGTTCATCCAGATGTGACATGGACTGACATACTTTGAAAGGGTCACTCCTGCTGTGTCGAGGATGGCCTAGGGATGTGGGGGACAAAGGCAGCCACGGCAGGGGGATGGCGGTGGGGCTGGAAGAGTGGAGACTAAGAAGGAGCCCAGTGGCAGCGACGCCTTAAGAGAACTCTGAGAGAGGAGTGAAGGTTAAGGGCCGCATTTGTGAGGCTGCTCCGGGTTCCATTCCCTGAGCCACCAAACTCAGGTAAGAGGGAAGACTTGGAATTAAGAAAATAAAAGATGCAGTTACGACAGTGCCATCTCGTAGACTGTCCCCGCTAGAACCTGACACTCTACATCAAAGGATACACAATGAATATAAGGAAGGCGTGCTGTCCCTAGGCGCTGGTCACCCTGGGTAGCATCTCCAGAATCCACACCATAGTCGACCCCCCTTCTCCAGACGAGCAACTGACGCTCAAAGCAGGGAATTCCCTCGTCCAAGGTCACGGAGTAAAAGATGGAGCGGGGATACGACCCCAGTGCAGGGCTGGGCTCTTGGCCGCTCCAGGATGCTGGCCAGTCACTGGGGGACACGCGGGACGCCTCTGGGTTCCCCCACCGCACCCCCTAGGGTGAGGTTAGCTTAGCACCCGGCCATTCCGCCTAAAGGGAAACTGAGGCTCGGAGCGGGGTGGGCGGCCGCCTGCCCAAGGCCACAGAGCGGGAGAGAGGCGTCCCCCGCGGCGGCTGGAGACCCCGAAACGGACAAGCAGAACCGGGAGATGGAGTGGGCACAAACTTCAGGCCCGGTGGGAAGTGAGGGGCGCTGCAGCGGCGGAGGGCCTCCGAGGCGGGGAAGGGAGAGAAGCCGGGGACAGCCCCGCAAGGTCACGGCCGGGCCCCGGCACCGCCGGCCGACAACGAGGAGACCGCGGATCCCCGAGGCTGGACCCCCAAGACGGGCCAAGAGGGGTCGTTCCTGCGCGTAGCCTCGGGGCCGAGAGGCCGAAGGGCCGCAGCCTGCGGTGCCGTCGGGACCGGTGCCGCGCTCACCTGGGCCGCGAGGAGCAGAAAGGCCGCCACAAGCCGCGCCAGCGCAGCCGCCGCCACCGCCGCCATCTCGGCCGGTGCCCGCCGCAACCGTCGGCAGATGTTTCCCAGCAACGCCCCGAGACCCCGGGCCACGCATGCGCCGCGCATGCGCGTGGGGGGGAGGGGAGAGGTCACAGGGCACTGGGCGGTGTCTGCGAAGAGCCGCACGGCGCGACAAGATGGCGGTGAGCGCGCGGCGGAATCCGGAGCCGGGGGGCGTGGGGCTCGGGCCGCGCTCCAGGCCTCATGCGCTCTGCTTTCCCCGCAGGATAAGGAGAAGAAGAAAAAGGAGAGCATCTTGGACTTGTCCAAGTACATCGACAAGACGATCCGGGTGAAGTTTCAGGGAGGACGCGAAGGTGAGGCGGCTCCCGCCGTTGGCACCCCCCCTTTAAAATTTTAAAATAAACTCAGCAAGAGAGGTGATGAGGATGCATGCAGAGGCGCCTCTTTTATTTATTTTTATTTATGTATTTATTTTGAGACGCAGTCTCGCTCCGTCGCCCAGTCTGGAGTGCAAGTGGTGCGATCTCAGCTCACTGCAACCTCCGCCTCCCGGGTTCAAGCGATTCTCCTGCCTCAGCCTCCTGCGTGGCTGGGGCTACAGGCGCCACCACTCCTGGTTAATTTTTGTATTTCTAGTAGAGACGGGGTTTCACCATGTTGGCCAGGCTGGTCTCAAACTTCTGACCTCAAGTGATTCGCCCGTCTCGGCCTCCCAAAGTGCTGGGATGACAGGCGTGAGCCGCCGCAGAGGCGCCTCTTTACACGCTTGACGCCGACTACCTTGTGCAGGCTTCCGAATTACGCCGGAGGTAGGAACTGGTATGGCCATTTTGCAGGCGGGGAAACTGGGGCAAGGAGCGGGAAACAAACGTAACCCAAAGTCACAGTGGCGCAGCCGGTATTGGGATTTCCGGCTTGGCCTCCAGAGCAGTCCTGTGTGTCCAAGGACTGCCCCAGATCCCCACAGATCTCCCGGCTTCTCCTCTTCCTCCCTCTAAGTCAAGGTCTTTCCCGCACAGCAGTGTGGACACATTTGGGGCCGGATTCTCTGGAGTGGGGCCGTCCTGGGGCACTGCAGGGTGCTGAGCAGCATCCCTGGCCTCCACCAAGTTGTGACAACCTAAATAGCCTCAGACATTGCTTAGTGTTCTCTGGGGATAGGATCGCCCCCCGACCCCCAAGCTGTGATTGGGAATCACAGCTACTAAGGTCAGTCTCCACTCAGCGGCCAGAGGCACCTAATGAAAAAGAAATGGAGGCTTCTTGCTCCCTGCTGAAAAGCTCTGAGGCTCCCCGTTGTTTTGGAGTAAAATCCGAATCCATACTTCTGATTATGACTGCAAAGGGCGGCAAAAGCACAAGTTCCACAGGTGCTTGCTCTGGGAAGCCCTCCCTGACCCTGGCGTCAGGCCCCCCATCGTTCTAGGATCCTGGTGGCACCTGTCACCGTTTGCGGTTTCGTGCATGTTAACCTGATGCTTGCCTCTGCCTGCGACTCTTCCATGGAATCTAGTGAAGACAGGGCGAGCTCTCAGAGGGCAGGAAGCATTCGCATGGGCAGTGGGCTGGTGATGCATGCTGCAGCTCTTGGCGGGGCGCAGGGACTCACGCCTGTAACCCCAGCACTTTGGGAGACTGAGGCAGGCGGATCATATGATCAGGAGATCGAGACCAGCTTGACCAACATGGGGTTTTGTGAAACCCCATCTCTACGAAAAATACAAAAAAATTAGCTGGGCGTGGTGGCGCACACCTGTAATCCCAACAACTCAGGAGGCTGAGGCAGGAGAATCTCTTGAACCCAGGAGGCAGAGGTTGCAGTGAGCTGAGATCACGCCACTGCACTCCAGTCTGGGAGACAGAGCGAGACTCTGTCTAAAAATAAATAAATCACACACACGCACACACACAGCAGAGAAAGGGTTTGCTCCCTGAAGGACTCACCTGATATGGTCAGGCTCACCCAGGGTGTTTCCCTCTAGATTGGCTCAAAGTCAGCTGGTTCAGGGGCTTAAACAGCTGCATAACCTAAGTGCAGGAGTGACGTCATGTCCGCTCAGAGTCACAGGCCCGAGCCCACACCCCGGGGAGGGGAACCTTGGTTAGAGACCTACCTACCTCAGTGCTCACATCTGTCCCCGTGAGGAGGGCTGGCTCACTGGTCAGGCTGGTGCCAAGGACCTGAACCGCTGCGTCTGACCCCATCTCATAGGTGACAAGTTTCATTTTGCAGGGGAGGGACTTGAGCGCAGAGAGAGGGAGCCGTGGAGGTAGGAGCTAAAGCCTGTATGCAGGTGGGCAGACCTTCTCTGTAGAAGGCCAGACAACAAATATCTTCAGCTTTGCAGCCCAGATGGTCTCTTGTCACAACCAGTGAGCTATGCCCGCAGAGCAGGAGAGCCGCCCTGGTCAGTGCCTGAGCGGGCGAGTGTGCTGGTGGGCCAGTGAAACTTTGGCATACAGAGATGAGCGGTGGGCCACTTTCGCCTCTGGTCGTAGTTCGCAGCGCAGAACGGCCATGGACAGGCTCACAGCCCTGCCTTGGGAGAAGATAGGCGGGCAGAATAATGCCTGGGGTGCCTGCTTCCTGAGATTGGTGGGGGGCATGCAGAGGGCAGCACCCTAAGGGGTGTGGGTTGGTGTCTGGAGGAAGCACCTGAAAGATGACAGGGGTAAGAAGGAGGGTAGGGAGCGGGTGGCTGTGGGACGCCCCTCAGTGAGCGCAGAGGCGGAACCGCTCCTGGGCCTGGGCTGGAGGAGCCTGGGGGGAGAGGACGGGAGTCCCGGACAGGGAGGGTGGGCTGGCCTCTGCTGAGGACACGCAGCTCCCCCTTCACCCTTCTCAGTGTCACCAGACACTGCGGAGCAGGATCAGATGGCAGAGGTCACCACCGGGTCAGAGAGCCCTAACCCAAGGTGCCAAGTTGTGACCTAAGGCGGCGAGGCTTGGGGGGTGGGGCAGGCAGCATGGAGAGAGAAGCCACGGCAACCGCCTCAGCCCCCAAAGCCTTTGCACCCGGGTCTCAGAGCATCTCTCTTGCCCGCTCCCCGCAAGCCCTGAGCTGCAGGGCTGGGATTTGTTCTTCTGTATTCCGTGAACTCACTGAGGGACCCAGCACGGGTCAGGCAGCGCAGTCACCACTGCTGTCCCAGCAGAGCACTCCGTCTCCCCTAGAGGAAGCCCTGTCCCCATCAGCTGTCACTGCCTGTCGCCTCTCCGGCACCCACACATCCCCTCCCTGTCTCTGTGGATTGGCCTGTCCTGGACCTTTCATAGAAACGGGATCACACGCTGCGCGGCCTTCTGTGGCTGGTGTCTCTCACCGAGCGTGGCGTCCTCAGGCACATCCGCACCGCGGCCTGCACCAGCCTCGCTCCTCTTCCCGGCTGGTGGTTCCACCGCATGCATGTGCCGCGGCCTGTTTTGCTACTGTTTTGGAGCCGAGAATTGTTTTTATGACTTTTAAATATCTGGAAAGGGATCAAAAGAAGACTGTCTCACGATGTGGAAATGATACGAAATTCCCGTTTCAGTGCCTGTGTGTCGAGCTGACTGGCCACGGTTCAGCCACACGTGGACTCATCACCGAAGCTGCTTCCACCCAGGCAGCCCGAGCCAGCAGCTGTGACCGGCACCCTGTGGCCCACACGGCCAGAAGTGTTTGTCCTCTAGCCCCCTGCAGACACAGTCGGCTGCCCATGGTGGGGGTCACTCTGGAGGCGCCTGTCACCAGCCCCTCCCGGGAGCCCTCCCCCACCCTCAGTCCTCCATCCCTGAAGCAGTGAGCCCCATGCCTGGGCCACGCTGGGGCAGGCCGTGTACCCAAGATGGATCTCATGCCTTCTCATTTCTCTCCCCCGGTGATTTCTCCAAGCCAGTGGAATCCTGAAGGGCTTCGACCCACTCCTCAACCTTGTGCTGGACGGCACCATTGAGTACATGCGAGGTGAGTGGGGCGGTGGCTGAGGCGGGCAGCGGGATGAGGAGGGCAGTGGGGTGAGGGGGCAGCAGGGCAAGGGAGGCGGCCATGGAGCTGCCTGCTGCCTCTTCCTCCCTGAAACCCACAAAACCTCACTCTGAGGCACCAACGTGAAGCCTTGTGTTGGCCGATGGACGGGCTGAGCGCTCACCGGTCCTGGACGTCCTCACAAAGCTGGAAACTCCATTGTTGTGGGGCCTGGAGAGACGGGGAAGCTTCCCCACTGGTCTCTACATACTGACAGGGCACTTAAAATGCTCGCAGCACAGTTAGAGGACAGGCTTTTTAAATGTTGTATTATTTCAGTTTTTGTTAAACTGGTGTCGCGAGGGGCCGGGCACGGTGGCTCACACCTGTAATCCCAGCTGCTCGGGAGGCTGAGGCAGGAGAATCGCTTGAACCCGGGAGGCGGAAGCTGCAGTGAGCCAAGATGGTGCAACTGCACTCCAGCCTGAGAAACAGAGTAAGACTCCGTCTCCAAAAAAAAGAGATAAGCTGAGGTCTCACTGTGTTGCCCAGGCTGGTCTCAAACTCCTGGGCTCATGCCATCCCCCTGCTTCAGCCTCCCAAAGTGCTGGGGTTCCAGGTGTGAGCTGTGGCACCCAGCCGAGAGCAGCCTTGCTGTGGGAGAGCGAGCGTGCTGTGGGACCCCTCTCGGGCCCCTCTCCTCTTCTGCCTTGTTAATCCCCACTATGAACGCAGGGCCCCCATCCCCTCCCCAGAGAACACTCCCTCATTTCCCTGCCCCTGCTCGCTCTCCTCCCCAGTGAGGCCGCCAGATCCTCAGACTCTCCCCGCTAGAAGATCCTGCTGCAAGTCCCCAGCCCGGCCCAGGCATCGGGGGGAGGCCAGGACTTAGAAAGAGACAGTCTTACCCCTCGGACCCATTGATACTGACACAAGATTTATTCTTGGAGCTGGCCACGGTGGCTCATGCCTGTAATCCCTGCACTTTGGGAGGCCGGGACAGGAGGATCACTTGAGCCCAGGAATTTGAGACCAACCTGGGCAACATACTGGGACCCTGTCTCTACAAAAAAACAAAAAAAAAATGAATTAGCCAGGCATGACGGTGCATGTGCCTATGGCCCCAGCTACTCGGGAGGCGAAGGCAGGAGGATTGCTTGAGCCCAGGAGGTTGGGGCTGTGAGCTGGGATGACGCTACTGCACTCCAGCCTGAGGGACAGAG